GGGCGACGCGTCGCGCGCCGCGCGGCCGCACGCGTCCGCCGCGAGCCGCGCGTCGCGCGCCACGCGCCGCGCGTCGCGGAGCAGCGTCGGCGCCGCGGCGTCGCCGCCGGCGCCGCCGTTCTCGGCGCCGTCGTCGCGCCCCTCGTCGTCGTCGGCGGCGTCGACGTCGTCGCCCGCCTCGAAGAAGAGCGCCGCGACGGCCGCGAGCGCGCACGCGCGCGCCGCGGCGTCGCCGTCGTCGGCGGCGACGCGCCGCGCGACGTCGAGGAGGCTCTCGCCGCCGCGGGCCGGCGGCCTGCGCGCGGCGCGGCGCGCCCGCGGCGACCCGTCGCAGAGCGCCGCGGCGCCGAGGCCGAGCCAGCGCCGCAGGATCGCGGCGCCCTCGTCGCCGCGGTCGCCGGGCCGCGCGGCCGCGCGCGCGGCCGCGGCCGCGAGGCGGTCGCAGGGGATGGCGTCGAGGCGCTTCGCGAGGCAGGCGTCGGCGGCGTCGCGGTCGCCGGCGCAGACGTTGGCGAGCACGAAGGCGGCGAGCGCGCGCTGCTCGTCGAGCTCGCGGTCCGCCGCGGCGTCGCCGACCTCGGCGCCGTCGAGCGCGGCGAGGTGGCTCACGAAGTAGAGGTGCGCGCCGTCGCGGACGAGGTCGCCGCGGCAGCTAGCGTCGAAGGCGAGGATCGCCGCCCAGATGGCGACGAGGGGTTTTCGCAGCTCCGGCGCGGGCGACTGGAGCAGCTTGAGCACGTAGGGGAAGATGCCGACGCAGAGGGCCAAGTTCACGGCGCGCGGGCCGAGCTCGAGGAAGCGGCGCAGGAGCACGAGCGCGCGCACGCGGTGCGCCTGGCTCAGCAGCACCTGGAGCACGACGGGCAGCTGCTCGGGCCGCGGCGCGTCGCGCGCGAGCGCGCCGCGCGCCGCGCCGAAGCGGAGCCAGACCTCGAACCTGGGCAGCAAAAGGGTGATTCAACGTCGCTTCAACGTGAGTGTTCCGCGCGCGCGCGTTTCGGAAACAGCACCCACGCTTCGAGAGCGCTCCGAGAGATGATCGCTCGTCCAAAAATCAGCCGAAACGAGCGGAAAACGACCGAGATAGGAGCCTTTGAAGTTGGGAATTTCGCACCCTTTTGCTGCCCTGCCTCGAACGCCGTGAGCTGCTCCTCGAAGAACGGCGACGGCTCGAGGGGCCGCGGCGGCGCCTCGCGCAGCGTCGCCAGGCCCCGCAGGCCCCGGAGCGCGCCGTAGGCCGTCGCGCCGTCGCACACCTCGGCGCCCGGCGGCGCCGCGGGCGCCGCGGCCGCCGCGGCGGCCGCGCCGTCGCGCGGCGGCGTCCGCGGCGCCGCGCCGTCGCCCGCGGGCGGCGGCGCCGGCCCCGGCGCCGGCGGCGGCGCCGGCGCGGGCGACGGCCCCGCGCCGACGGCGAGCTGCGCGAGGCAGCCCTCGGCCGCGAGGTCCCACGCGGCCCAGAGCGGGTGGTCCGCCGTCGGCGGGAGCGGCGGCACCGTCGCCGGCGTGCAGCCGTGGGCCTTGAGCACGCGCTCCGCTAACAGAAAGTTGCGGAAGAGCGACGCCAGGAGCAGGTCCTGGCGAAACAAACGCTGGAAGAGCGGCGCGGGCAGCACGTTCCAGGCGATCGTGTCCGTCACGGCCGTGAAGATCCAGTTGAGCTCGCCCAGCGGCGTCTTCCGGTCGCCGAGGCGGCCGGGCACGTCCGCCGCGTCGCCCCCGCCCGGCGGCCCGCCCCGCCGCCCCCGCGCCCCGAAGGCCCGCAGGGCGACGGCGATGGGCGTCGTGAGGCACGCCGTGAAGAGGTCCGCGGGGAGGCCCGGGTCCGACGGCAGCGCCTCGTCCGCGCCGCACGGCGCGAGCACGATGCACTCGTCGCCGCCCATCTGGTCGTCCGGGGCCTTGTCGCCCGGCGGTCGGTCGTGGTGCCGGGGCATGGGCGCCGTGAAGTGGGGCAGGAGGACGCCCGCGCCGCCGCAGTCGAGCACGTAGACCGCGGGGCCGCGGACGACGGACCGGAGCTCGTAGACGGAGAGGGGGATGTACTGCGTGTAGTTCTTGTTGAAGACCCAGACCTCGCCGTTCGCCGTGGGCCGCGGCACGCCGTGGCCGTTGAGGTGCACGAGCACGCGGTCGCCGCGCGCGGACCGCCGGAGCGCCGCGCAGAGCCGCCGGAGCTCGTCGGCCGTCGGGTCTAAAAGCTGCCGGTAGCGCGCGCGGCTCTGCCAGCGCTCGTACTGGGCCTGGAGCGCCGCGCCGATGGTCTCCAAAGCCTTCTGGCGGCTCGGCCCGGCGAAGGGCTCGAGCCAGCACTCGCGCCGCGCGCGCGGGCTCGCCGCGACGGCGTCGGGCGGGTCCGTGCCGATGTTGAGGCAGAGCACGAGCGCGACGGACACGGTCTTCATGCGCTCGCGGAGCCGCCACGTCGGCTCGACGCTCCCCGCGTCGCCGGCCCAGGGCGACCGCTCGCTCGACTCGGACGCGCAGTCGTCGCAAAGCTCGCCGCCCTCGCCCTCGGCCTCGGCGCCCTCGGGCTCGTCCCACGCGCCCCGCCCGTGGTAGCTCCGGCAGAAGACGCAGCGCAGCGCCTCGAGCTCGCGCAGCGCCGCGTCCTCGCCCTGCAGCAGCTCGAGCTGCGCCTCGCTCGACGGCCGCAGGCCCAGCAGCTTCTCGACCTTGGGCGCCACGGAGCTCGCGCCGGGCCCGCGGTGCCGCGACACGCGCCGCCGCGCCTCCTTGGCGATCTCGTCGTCGCTGTCCTCGGCCATGGCGCGGCGCAGGACTGGGATGAGAGCCGGCGCGCTACGCGAGCGCCGCGAGACGCAGGCCAAGCATCTCGCGTCGAGCTCTCGAGCTCGCGGACCTCAACATCTCCCGCGGCCGACGCTGCCCCGCTCCGTGCGGTCTATGCTGCCCAACGTTGGAGTGCTCCCCCGGGGCCGATGGGGGGCGGATCGATATAACCCTTCTGCGCGGCCGATGAACACGAGTAACTTGGCCGTCATCGGTGCGCCCCCCGCCGCGCGCCCGCCGCAGCCCGGCCCCCTCGCGCGCCGCGTCGCGCGCCGCCGCCGCGTCGCGCGTCGCGGACCGACGACGCGCGGCCGCCGCGCGCGCAGGCATCGACGACGGCGAGCTCGGGCAGCTCCTCGTCGACGCGGGCATGCCGGGGCCCGAGGTGCCGCGGCTCATCGCGAAGATGAACGCCCACTGGGCCGGCGGCGGCTCCATCGACGCGCTGCTCGCGGACGACGCCGCGCTCGCGGGCTGGCGCCTGTCGCCCGGGTCGCTCATGCTCCTGCGGTCGATCCTGGGCATCTCGCGCGAGGCGCGCGCCAAGTCCGGCGCGAAGCGCGGCCGCGAGGAGTCGTCGTCCTTCGCGAGCAGCCTCCGCGCGTCGCTGTCGCTGCTCCGCGTCGACCTGCAAAAGCCGCCGGCGGACGAGGCCTACGACGACGACTACGACGACGACGACTTCGAGCTCGACGACGACAGCGACGGCGGCGGCGCGGCGGCCGCGTCCCCCGTGGTTTTCTTTTTGGCGACGACGCCGGCGCGTCCTCTCAGGCGGCGTGAACCTCGCGTCCGTCGCGTCGATGTCGCTCGACGCCGTCGCGCCGCCGCCGCCGCCGCGGCGCGGCGACGCCGCGGGTGCGGCGCGGCGCGCGGCGACGCCCGCCGCCGGCGGCCGGCCCGGCGCGGCGCTCCCGCCGGGCACGCCCCTCGCGCCGGGCCTGCCGGCGCCGCGGCGCGCGCGGACGCCCGGCGCCGCGGCGCCGCGGCCGTCCGCGGACACGCCGCCGCCGCTGCCGCCGGGCTCGGCGCGCGAGCCGCCGCGCCTGTCGTCGGAGACGAAGGAGCTCCTGGCGTCCGCCGTCGACGGCCGCCGGCAGAGGGGCAGCCGCGGCCGCGCGCACACGGCGAAGCACGGGGCGGGAAACGAGTGATTCAAGTTCGCTTCAACCTGAGCGTTCCGCTCGCGCGCGTGCCGGCAAAAGCATCCACGCGTCGAGCGCGCTCCCAGAGATGATCGCTCGTCCAAAAGTTAGCCGAAACGAGTGGAACATGACCGAGAGAGGAGCCTTTGAAGGTGGGACTTTCGCACCCTTTTCCCGCCCAGGCGAAGCACATCCTGGACGGCCAGTGGAAGCTGGGCAAGTGCATCGGCCAGGGGAGCTTCGGGTCGGTCTACACGTGCATGGACGAGGCCACGGGCGTGCTCATGGCCGTGAAGATGATGGCCATCCCGACGTCGTCCGCGCCCGGCGGCGCCGGCGCGCCGCCCCAACCGCGCGACGGCCGGCCGAGTAAGCCCGAGAGCGAGCTCCGCGCGCTCTGCAGCGAGATCGAGATCATGCGGAGCTTCGAGCACCCGAACATCGTGCGCTACCTCGGCGCGGCCGTCGACGAGCCGAACCTCCAGCTCTACATCTTCCAGGAGTGGGTCCCCGGCGGCTCGCTCGCGAGCCTGTCCGCGCACTACGGCGCGCTCAGCGAGCCCGTCGTGCGCCGCTACACGATCCACATGCTCCGGGGCCTCGAGTACCTCCACGCCGCGAACATCATCCACCGCGACATCAAGTGCGGCAACGTCCTCGTCGACGAGGGCGGCGTCGCGAAGCTCGCGGACTTTGGCGCGTCGCACCGCCTCGGCGCCGACGGCACGCTCACGGCGGACATGAAGCTCACGATGCGCGGCACGCCCTACTTCATGGCGCCCGAGGTGCTCCAGCAGGACAAGTTCGGCCGGAGGTCCGACGTCTGGTCCGTCGGCGGCGTGATACTGCAGATGGCGACGACGCACCCGCCGTGGAAGGTCATGAACTTCAAGACGCCCATGGCCCTCTTCTACCACGTCGCGTCGACGACGGACCCGCCGCCCATCGACACCTACGCGCTCTCCCTGCCCCTCCGGGGCATCATCCTCCGCTGCTTCGAGCGCGACCCGGAAAAGCGCGCGCACGCGGCCGAGCTTTTAGGGGACCCGTTCCTCGCCGAGTTCCGCGAGGACGAGTCCGACGACCTGAGCCACAGCGACCCCCTGAACAACACCGTGAGCCGCATCGAGCGCGTCGCGACGCCCGCCACGGCGCCGAGCCCGCACCGCGCCGCGCCGCCGCCGCCGGGAAACGCGGGCAACGGCGGCGGGAACCTGTCCTCCCTCAAGATGCGCATGTCCCTCCGCGCGAGCACGGGCGCGTCCTAACGTCCGGGCGCGTCCGAACGTCGCCCCCGGGGGAAGAGGACAGCGTTCCGAAAGGGCGTAGGGTCACTGTGGAATCACGCGTACGGTGGGTCTCATCAACTTAATGACGTTGCCGTCAAGATGGTTTGCAAGCTCTCCCGGCCGCGCGCCCGCTCGAAGCGCCTCGCCGACGAGACACGAACGAAGCGCCACCGGACGCGTTCGAATTTACGCCACCACCACCACCGCACACGCACACCATGTCGGGCATGCTCGAGGAGGAGCGCTTCGACGGCATGCTGCTGCAGTTCGCGCAGCAGTGCCAGGGCATCGACCCGCTCCTCGACACGGTCTTCTCCTTCCTGCGGCGGAAGACGGACTTCTTCACGGGCGCCACGGACGACAAGGCGAAGCAGACGGTGCTCAAGATGCTCGAGAAGCACCAGCTCCTCGCGGACAAGACGAACGTCGAGAAGCGCAAGCGGCGCGACGCCGAGGAGGCCGCCGCCGCGGAGCGCAAGGCCGCGGCGAAGGCGAAGCGCGACGCGAAGAAGGCCGCCGAGGCGAGCGCGGCGCCCGCGGCGCCGGCGCCGGCGCCGCCCAAGGACGTCGTCGAGGTCGGCGCCGGCGGCGCGGACCTCGACGGCGCCGCGCCGTCGAGCGGCGGCGACGCGAAGGACGACGACGACGACGACAAGGAGCCGCCGCCGCCGGGCAACGGCGGCGTCATGGGCTGGGGCGTCTGGACCCAGCAGCTCGCGGACCTCGAGCTCAAGGTGCCCATGCCGTCGACGACCAAGTCCCGGGACCTCGTCGTCAAGTTCACCAAGGGCCACATCACCATCGGCGTCAAAGGCCAGCCGCCGATCCTCGACGGCGACCTCCACAAGAAGGTCATCGTCGACGACTGCTTCTGGACCCTCGAGGACGCGCCGGGCGCCGACGGCGGCAAGGAGGTCGTCGTCGCGCTCCAGAAGGAGGACAAGCAGAGCTGGTGGAAGTGCGTCGTCGTCGGCGACCCGGAGATCAACACGCAGAAGGTCCAGCCCGAGAACTCGAAGCTCAGCGACCTCGACGGCGAGACGCGCATGACCGTCGAGAAGATGATGTTCGACCAGCGCCAGAAAGCCATGGGCAAGCCCACGGCCGACGAGCAGGGCAAGCAGGACGTCCTCGAGAAGTTCATGAAGCAGCACCCGGAGATGGACTTCTCCAAGGCCAAGTTCTCCTAGGCGGCGCCCGCGCCGCGGCGGCGCCGCTCGCCCCTAAACCCGCACGAGTCCCGACGCGCCGGGCCGCTCGGTCGCCGGCGGGGCGCGGCGATTCGAGTGAACTCGGGCTTTGGGGTCTGGGGTGGTAAAATTTAAACCAAACCGACTGGGGCGTACTCGGGGGGACCTCGGGTGACTTCCCCTGGGTCCCGGGCTAGTTCCTGGCACCTATTTTCTGGGTCGGTCGGTCGGTCGGTCGTCGTCGTCGTCGTCGTCGCCGCCGCCGCCGCCGCCGCCGCCGCCGCCGCCGTCGTCGTCGTCGTCGCGCGCGCGGGGGAGTTTCGAACCTAATTCAGTCGCAGGGCGACCGTAGAGAGGTGATGAGTTGCCCCATGCCAGCTGTCACGGCATATGAACCCGGGGATGCAAAAATCGAGTGGGGGCGCGCCCCGCAGTCGCAGTGATCGACAGTCTCGCCGCGGAAGGCCGCCAGCAGGATTTTTTGCGCTCACGAACCCCGTCGTCGCTGCCCGGCGCAGCACGCGCGCTTTTCGTGCACCACCTGGCGCAAAACGGCGAGGTGCCGGCGCATCACATCATCGCAGCGTTATCCGTCGGTCGAAACGATGCAGTTTTGTACGATTTCGATGAAGTTTTCAATGATTACTTCAATGAACAACCCAAAACGTTTGTTCTTACTACGAGACGGGGTCCTCCAATTAAATTCACCGGCCGCGCTGAGCTTACGGCGCCCGCGGTCGGAAGCGGTTGGTGGTCCAAGTAAGCAAAATCTTACCGATGGCGACGCGCGGTGGAAAATTCCAGAGTGCTGGCGGGGACGAATGGAGAAATTTCTTAGAAAAATGTTCGAATTAAATTCGAGGGCCTGTTCCACGCGTCCAAACGCGTCGGTTTCTGAGGGCTTGGACCAACGCGGGTTAACTTGTCCTCCCCGGAACCCCTCAGCTCAAGTCAGCTCTTCGCCTTAAGATTCGCCCCGGCGACGCCAATTCCGCGGGGCCGACGGTGGCGCGACGGTGCCTTTTAACGAGGCGCTGCAAACCTGAATCTTGGCCCCTGCAACGCGCATGATACGGGAGGCAGCCACACAAAGGAGGTCGGTTTCGACAGGCTCCCAGGCGCCCGCCACTCGGCTCCCGGCCGTTTCTCGCGGGGTGAGGCTCCCGGCGCTCGGCCCCCGCGCGGCTCCGGGGCGAGGCTCCCGGCGCGGCCTCCGGCGCCTCGCGGGCGGTCCCGAGGGCGCCGCGGGCGACATGAAGCGCCTCGAGGGCTGCCGCAGACGAAATCGTCGAAGGTCCGACAACGTGCGGCAAGCCGCGCTCGTCCTCGTCGGCCTCGTCTCCCTCGCGCTCTGCGGGAAGACGGGCGGCTCCCTGGGCCGGGGCCTGCGCGGCGCCGGCTTCGGCGCGGGGAGGATAGGACGGGCCGCGCCCGGCGCCGCGGCGGTTTCGGGCGCGGCGGCCGCGCCGGCCGCGCGGCGTCTGGGCGCCGCCGCGGACGCGCTCGAGGACCCCGGCGCGCGACGGCTGGCGAACGCGACGGCGGACGACGACGACGACGACGAGACCGGCGGCCTAATCATCGGCGGCGCGCGGATCCCGCCGAAGCCGCTGCTCACGAAGAAGCAGAACCTCTACTACGGCTGGTTCTTCTACGTCCTGGGCATCCTCTGGATGTTCCTCGGCCTCGCCTTCGTCTGCGACGTCTACCTCGAGGCGTCCCTCGAGGGCATCTGCACGGGCCTGAAGCTGAGCAACGACGTCGCGGGCGCGACGTTCATGGCCGCCGGCGGGTCCGCGCCCGAGCTCTGCACGTCCTTCATCGGCGTCTTCGTCGAGCGGTCCGACATCGGCTTCGGCACCATCGTGGGCAGCGCCGTCTTCAACGTGCTCTTCGTCATCGCCGCGTGCGCGCACGTCGCGCCGAATCTCACGCTGACGTGGTGGCCGCTCGCGCGCGACTGCGCGTGCTACTGCGCCTGCATCTACGGCATGGTCATCGTGCTCGTGGACGGCCGCGTGACCTGGTACGAGGGCTTTGGGCTCCTCGTGGGCTACGGCTGCTACGTCACGGTCATGTCGCAGAACGAGTTCCTCGAGATCTTCGTCGGCAGCCAGCTCGCCAAGGACGTGCGCCAGCGGCCGGCCTGGTGCCTGGCGCTTCAATCCATGGTCGAGTCGACGCCCTTCATCGCCATCGTCTACATCGCCATCGTCGCCAACGTCGTGTCCATGGCGCTCGAGGCCGTCGTGCTCAACTACGTCTTCGCGGGCTTCTTCGTCACGGAGATGGTCATCAAGATCGCGGCCTACGGGTTTTTTGGGTACTGGAAGTACCCGCTGAACACCTTCGACGGCGTCCTCGTGGCTTTGATCATCCTCGAGCTCTTCTTCCTCGGCACCATGGGCATCGGCCAGGGCAGCAAAAGAGAGCGAAATTCCCAACTTCAAAGGCTCCGATCTCGGCCGTTTTCCACTCGTTTCGGCTGATTTTTGGACGAGCGATCATCTCTCGGAAGGGTCTCGAAGCGTGGATGCTTTTATCGGAACGCGCGCGCGAGGAACACTCACGTTGAAGCGACGTTGCATCACCCTTGTGCTGCCCAGGCATCGGCGCGATCAAGGCGCTCCGCCTCTTCAAGTTCGTCCGCGTCACGCGCTTCATCCGCATCGCGCGCATCTACCAGTTCTTCCGGCACCACGCCGTGAAAAATAAGGAGCTGGTGGAGCCCGGCGGGCGCACGAACCGGCCAACGATCCGGGGCCTCCGGCCGTCCGACGTCTCCGTCAAGGGCCTCAAGATCGTCGCGGGCGTCAAGCTCAAGACGATCAACAAGAACGGCGTCCCCGTCAAGGTCAAGAGCCCGCCGGCGGCGAACTGCGCCGTCGCGCCCGAGCCCGCGGGCGCCGCGCCGCCGGACCCGGCGGCCTCGGAGGCGCCCGCGGCGCCCGGTACGCCCGGAGGCGCGGAGCCGGCGGACGAGGCGCCGCCGGAGACGCCCGCGGCCAACGGCGCGGACGCGGCGCCGGCGACGGCGGGCGCCCCGTCGACGCCCAACGGCGACGCCGAGGAGCCCCCGGCGAACGGCGGCGGCGAGGAGAAGGAGGACGGCGGCTCCGGCGGCGGCGGCTCCGGCGGCGGCGACTCCGGCGGCGACGACGACGACGACGACGAGGGCGGCGCGCCGGGGAGCTGGGGCGAGGTCTTCACCTGCCCCACGGGCGACGGGCCCATCGCCATGGCCTACTGGTTCGTCATGCTGCCCATGTCCATTATTTTTTACGGCACGATCCCCGACTGCGGCACGGAGAAGTACGAGAAGTGGTACTGGGTGACGTTCAGCCTCTGCATCTCCTACGTCGCCGTGCTGAGCTACCCCATGGTCTGGTGGGCGACGGAGCTCGGCGACGTGCTCGGCATCCCCGAGCCCGTCATGGGCCTCACGCTTTTGGCCGCGGGCACGTCCGTGCCGGACATGCTCAGCTCCGTCGCCGTGGCGAAGCGCGGCTACGGCGACATGGCCGTGAGCTCGTCCATCGGGTCCAACATCTTCGACCTCAACTTCGGCCTCGCTCTGCCCTGGTTCCTCTTCGCGGTCACGGAGGGGCCCGTGAAGATCAACTCCGACGGCCTCACGGTCTCCATCCTCACGCTCTTCATGATGGTGGGCCTCGTCATCACGACGATCCACTTCTCCGGCTGGAAGCTCACGGCCCAGCTCGGCAACATCATGTTCGGCCTCTACGCGTGCTACATGTGCTTCGCGCTCATGCTCGAGCTCGGCGCCGTCTGAGCGCGGCGCCGCGAGGAAAAAAAAAAAAAAAACACTTCCGCCGCCGCCCGTCGACCTCACTCCCCCCCGCGACTCGGCGCCGTCCCCGCCCGTCGCCGCCCAGCCCCCCGCGTGGCGCGTCGTCGCGCGCCGGCCCAAGACCCACGAGACGCCGCTCGTCCCCACCCGTCCCGGCACCGTCCTCCTCGCCACCGATCCGCCCGTCTCACGCTCGCGGGGGGGCGCGCCCGCCCCGACAAGCACCCGGCTCCGGCGGACCCTCCTTTCGGGGGTCCGCGGAGCCGCGGGCGCGCCCATGCGACGTGAGACGCGGCTGCGGCCGCGACGCGAGGACACACCCGGGACCCCGCGGGACCCCGAGCGGCCCGCGCCCGACGCACGATTCCCCACCCAGAAGCTGGCACGCGACCGGGCCGGGGCGGCGCCGCAGCCGCGGCCCCCCCGGCGGCCCTTCGCGCCCGACCCCACAAGCACCCCACCACCCTTCTCTCCATCATACTCATTCCATTTCGATCTGTCTTCGGCGGGGTAAAGGCGCCTCGGAGGGCGCCGCGGCAGGGGGGTCGAGCGGATCCCGGCGGAGTCGGCGGGAGGCGTCCGACTGAATCGACGATTTTTGAGGCAAGATCGTGGAAATCCGATTCCGCCTCAGACGACCATTCACGCCGACGCCGCCACGGGGGAGGCATTAAAGTCACTCGCGTCGACTACACCCCCCCTGGATACGATGGGCGACCTCGAGAAGGAGTCGAGTCTGCGCGACTTCGAGGCCGCCGAGGACGGCGGCTGCCTCGCGCCCGGGCGCTTCCGCATGAGCGACTACCTCTCGGAGCTCGTGGGCGCGCAGGAGGTGACGAAGGACGAGGCCTACGACACGGCCGTCGCCGCGGTGCGGGGCCACGCGTCCGTCGTCCAGGCGTTGGCCAAGTCCGTCGCGGCGCGGACCAAGGCCGTCGTCGCGCTCGAGAAGTCGGCGGCGCCCGTGAAGGCGGGCGCCGCGGCCATGGAGCCGGCCCTCGTCGACGCCCTCGCGGCCTGGGCCGCGCCGAGCGAGGACCCCGCGGAGCCGCCGCCGACCGCGGCCGTCGAGGAGGCGTCGCGCGCGCTCGTGGGCGGCCTCCTCAACTACGCGACGGACCTGCACAAGCTCAAGGCCAAGGTCGCCAAGGCGCGGACCAAGCAGCGCGAGAACATGGACCACTACGCGTCCAAGGTGCCCCGGCTCACGCGCGCCGTCGAGGCGGCGAAGCGGGAGAAGGCGCGCCGCGAGGCGCGCGCCGAGGCCGCCGCGGCCAAGGCCAAGGCCGAGGGCACGCCCGTCCCCGCGACGTGCCACGCCTTCTACGAGTCGAGCGACGCGGACCAGGTCAAGGCTCTCGCCGACGCGGAGGACCGCCTCCGCCGCAACGAGAAGAAGCTCGAGGGCGCCAAAGGCGACTACGCGGCGACGAACGCGGCGGCCATCGCCGCGCTGACGTCCGCCGTCGCCGACTCGACGCCGGAGACGGTCCCGATCCTCAAGGACCTGCTCACCTACGAGGCCGACATCATCACGGCCATGCTCGCGTACGAGTCGCGCCTCGACGCCGCCGCCGCCGCGCTCCCGGAGTCCGAGGAGCCCGCGCGCGCCGAGCCCCCGGCGAAGCCGGACGCGGAGCCCGAGGCCGAAGAGGAGGAGACCAAGGAGGAGACCAAGACCGAGGGCGCGTGAAGGAACCGCGACGCCCGCCCGGCGCGCGCGCCGCGCCGCCGGCTTCGCGAGGCCCGGACCCCTCCCAAGAAACGTAACGCCTCGCGTACGCACGTGCTGAGAGGAGCTGCGAGTCTGCGACCGACGACCTCGAGCTCAGACGGCGAGGCCTACGGCGGCCGCGGGCAGCTCGCGACAGGGCTCGCGACCACCCCGGCCAAGCTCGCGAGGCCTTGCCACAGCCACTTGCGCCGCGCACGGCGGCGACGCCCGCACCAAGTCGCGCGCCGCCTTGCGCGACGCAGCGTCCACGCGCCCGGATCTTCCGCGCGCGCGGCGCGGCGACGCCGCGGGGCACGACGGAGGCGATCGTTCACGCGAGAAACGTCGTAGGTCGCACCCGGCCGACCATGTCCGACAGCAACTACGCCAAGTCCATCTGCAAGTGGCGGAAGATCAACGAGGTCGTCGACGACGCCTGGCTCGAGGACGCGCTCTCGGACGACGACGTCGAGATCCCCGGCGGCGACGTCTTCGCCGAGGAGGGCGCGTGCCCGGCGTCCCGCGTCGCGCGCCGAACCCCGTCCGATGATGTTATCCAAATATTTGCTACTCTCGACCGCGTTGCGTGACGACCACACTTTTTACACACCAAGATCGCTGAGGACCGAGCCCGTTCGCCGACCGCCGCGCGCCGCCGCCGCGCGCCGCCCTCGACCCCGTCCCCGCGCAGGCGAGCTCGACTCGGGCGACGTGCTCGAGGCGTCCAAAGAGGAGCGGTGGACGGACCTCGAGCTCGAGCAGGTCACGGGCGACGCGCCCCTAAGATAACGTAAAGGCGGGGTCCGCGAGCCGCTCGCACGCGGCGCGGAGGCGCGCGCAGGCCCTGGCGTAGGCGGCGGGCTCGAGGTTCGCGTAGCAGACGCGGACGTGGCCCGGGAGGCCGCAGGCGGCGCCCGGGATCGCGGCGACGCCGTGGGCGTCCACGAGCCACTCGACGACCTTCTCGTCGTCGGCGCAGTGGCGCGGCAGCGCGACGAGGAGGTAGATGGCGCCGTCGCCGCCGCGGACCGCGTTTTCGCCGAGCGGCGCGAGCGCTTCCAGTATATCCCGCTTCTGGTGCGCGACGAGGCCCGCGACGCGGTCCGCGACGTAGGCGTCGCCGCCCTCCAGCGCCGCCAGCGCGACGCGCTGGCTCGCCTGGGACGCGCAGATGGCGACCGTGTCCTGCGCCTTGAGCAAGGCGGGCCCGAGCGCGGGCGGGTGCGCGACGTAGCCCACGCGCCAGCCCATCATGCCGTAGGCCTTGGAGAAGGAGAAGAGGTTGACCACGTGGTCGCCCTCGACGCAGGCGTGGGGCTCGCCGTAGGCGAAGAGCTCGTACGTGTTGTCGACGACGAGCCAAGCGCCGCGCGCCGCGCAGAGGCCCGCGACCTCGTCGAGGAGCGCCTTCGGGATCATCGTGCCCGTGGGGTTGCCCGGGTTCACCAGCACGACGACCTTGGGAGGCTTGGCGCCGTCGAGGGCCGCCGTCAGAGCCGCGACGTCGGGGAGGAGCTCGTCGGTCATCGCCGGGAGCAGCGCTTCCACTCCCAACATCTGCAGCTGCATGAGGTGGTTGAAGTAGTAGGGCCGGAAGAGCAGCGCCGCGTCGCCGGCGTCGAGCAGCGCCAGGCAGACGTTCGCGAAGGCCTGGTTGCAGCCGGACGTGACCATGACGTCCGAGTTCGCGAGCGCGTTCTTTACCTCTAACTTCCTCCCGAGCGCGGCGACGAGCGCCGGGTACCCCTCGTCGTCGCCGTAGCCGTGCGTCGCCGGGTCGTCGAGGGCCGCCTTCGCCGCCTCCAGCGACGCCGGCGGCGGCAGCCAGTGGACGATGCCTTGCGCCAGCGACGCCACGTCCTTGCCGCGCGTCAGGCGCTGCATGTTCACGATGACCGGCGCGTCCGTCGCCGCCATGGTCTTGGAGACGGACGGAGCCATGCTCGCGAAAGCGCGGGACAAGAGCGGCGCTGTCGCGAGGTAGCGGAGCGTCGGCCGCATGCGAGAGAGCTCGATTTGCCACAATTGAGCTCGTGATGCCGTAAACAACGACTCCGTTACCTATTTACTTTGCAATGTTGCTTTTCATCGTTGCCCTTCTGCAAATAAAAGCTCGAAAAGTTGTATTTTTTGGAGCATGCCCGAGGGCATTTTGGCGTTCGGGGCTGCCTGGAGGCGGCCCATCGGCGCGCGGAATCACCACCTCTCGGCGTCATATGCTCGCGCCTGAATTATACACTGCAACAAAGCTAAGCCGGCCCGAGGCGGCGGCGGCGGGCGCATCGTTCGCGAACCGAGCCATGGCGGACGCGTTGGTGCCTTCGACAGCACCCAGCCCGCTCGCACACACCATCGACGGAGCGCGGTCCTCGCGGCACGCATCATCGCGGAAGCGCGCGGCGCCCGCCGGCGAGCCCCGCGCGCCGCGGCCCGCGCCGGCGCTGCCGACCGCGTCGTCGTCCGCGGCGGCCGAGGCCGCGCGCGACGCGGAGATCGACGCGTATCTGCGGAGCCGCGTGCCGGCCTTCGACGACGACGCAGGAGCTCGTCGTAAACGCCGGGCGCGCTCCCGCCGGCGGGACGGCGGCGGCGGCGGCGGCGGCTCGGGCGAGTCGGACGACGACGGCGCCATGGATCTGCGCGTCGCCGGCGTCGTTCCCGGCGGCCCTTCGACGCCCGCGCGACCCGCCACCGCGCGCAGGTTGTTGGCCGAGGCCGCGGAGGTCCTCGGTTCGGCCGCGTCGATGTCCGAGCGGGAGAGCGGCGCGGCGGCGCGCGGCGGCGCGCGCGCGCCGAGCCCGGCGCCGGACCCCGACTACGCCGACGGCTCGACCTTCGAGGACGAGGCCGCCGCGGTGCTCCTCGACGTCTCGGGCATGTCGCGCGCCGCGGCGGGCGGCCGGTCGCTCCCGG